CTCGACCCGTATCATCATAGATACCCCCGCGCTGAGGTAAGTATAGAGACCTCATAATCACCATTTGCCCATGAGCAGCACTAATATTACATAGTCCTACCACGACCTCGCCGTCCGCCTTGAGCCCATCATTCTGGAGCTTGAGCGTGAGCAGAGCGATCTTCTCATCATCGCGCACGAGTCTGTTCTTCGCGTTCTCTACGCCTACCTGATGCACTGCGCCACCATGGACATTCCCATCCTCAAGTTCCCCCGCGACGAGATCATCGAGATCATCCCCGCCGCCTACCAGAATGAGGCCAAGCGCGTTCACATCCCCGGCGTCGACCCTAAGATCACTCCTGGCTCCCCCGAGGACATCAGCATCCCTGTCCCTGGCGGTGGAAGCGGTAGCGGTGTCGCCAGCGGCAACCTCTCGCCCATGCCTGGTATCTCGTCTCCCGCGGAGCCCAACGTCGTCGTTGAGCGTCCTCCTGAGAAGGTCATCAATACTGCTGCCGAGATGGTCGCTGATCGCCAGAATGATGAGGACTAAGATTGTTACAAGGACTGGGTTCTTTTTTCGTCAACATTTTTTTTTTTGGAAGTTCGATTGGTCCACTGATTACTGATTATTACTTTGCTTGAAATAACGAAAAGGATGTTGGGAGGCATATATATCTCCCTGCCTTTCTCGTTCAGTGGACCAGAGCGAACGTGAAAGGAAGAACATTAGGCTTCGAGAGAGGGAGGACGACGGATCGGAAGTTTGCTACTGCGGATGGGAAACCCCCATCAAAATTTGCTCGTACCGTGGGATAACTTTGCCCACGATGAACTCTTGTTTTGCGTCCTACGTTCTGGACGTCGTTTTCCCCTCCAGTCAATGACGGGGAAACAGGAAACATGGTATTCGGTTATTCGGTTACTCAAACGCGTCAACACATGGGAACAAAAACTGGGAAAACTAGGTCAGGTAGCTGAATCTTGATGAATGACGACCCAGTCATCAACAGTATTATTTTATCCCAAGCTATCTGTGGTGTGTAGAGAGGGGGATGGATAACCGCCTCATCGACTCCCTCTCGCATTGCTTCCAATTCCGTGGTATTCCGTTTTTCTTCTTTTCATCGTCCCGAAAGGAAACAACACAAAACTCCGGAAAACGCCCTTCTCGTGCTGCTAATCATCCGCAGGCGTTGCGGCGTCTCTCGCAGAGTCATTCACACTGCAAAGTATGTACCTCTTCTCTGCTGCTTCCAAAGTCTATCTCGGTCCACCAAACTCCTCGCTATTCCAGGGCCGAGACAAACTCTCGTCAAATCTAATCCCAATCACATCAACGCGCTGGTAAACTAATAACTCTGTCTCTCTCTGACTGTCACTCGTCTTTGGTCTGTTTTAATCTGTCGTCGGAAAAGTCTTTACATCACTGCACACTCTCGCTCCGGCTCATCCCCGTCCTTGTGCTTCTTCTTTTCGGTAGAACGGCTCTTGGACTTGCCTCTCTTGTGATGCCTGTGATGGTGCTCTGATGACTTTCTTTCCTTGAAATCCTTGGAGTCTTTCCTGTCGGTCTCTGCAACTGGTGCCGCAACCGGTGTTGCTTCGGCATCAGCGTTCTCGACGAATTCCTCCTCAGTCACCGGATCAGGAATAGGTGCGCTGATGGATGTGGCGAGCGCGTTGCTGCTCAAGTTGCTGTTGGGATCACGGAGCGGCTCCTTGCTCGGTCGCATGAGTCCGCCGAGTCGAGTCATGGTAAGACTGATGCGGCCCTCTCCTGCTTGACTGGTAGGTCTGCTTTTGCTCTTGCCCGTAAATAGAGCGGCGGCTCGTGAGAGCCGTTGGGCTGTCGTCTCTTCTCCTGGGGTTACGGCGGGCGATATGGCATCCGGCGTGATTGCTGGCGTGCCTAGGGTAGAGTCCGTGAAGGTAACACTGCCCCTTCGAGAATCCTTGAACCCCAAGTACGGCTCGTCATCGCCGAAACTTATGCGACTAGGACGCTCCAATTCCGACGAAAAGCGGATGCTAGGCGCTTTGGGTGGAGATATTGAGGTGTTCTCGAAGTAGTCGCTCCGCGATGATGACATTCCGGAGTTGTTGCCGTTGACCGGGTTCGGTGTAGCCGGTAGGTTGACGCTGACCTTGGACTCGTTGTAAGAAGGAGGCTCGGTCTCCGTCTCTTCCGTTGACGCCACCTCTACCATTGGTACGATCTGGTAGAATAAGAGATAAGGCATCTCGTCCTTCAAAGCTTGCTTGATGTCGTCCACATAAGTCACCCTGTTTTCGATATTCAAGTCATCAAATTTGACCCACTGCGCCTCCTCGTAGTCTGGAGGGGGGTCATTGTCGTGTCTCCTATTGTCGGTGAGGAGTTTGGGCGCCACCCTGGCGAATGAGATATAGTGTCCGCTGTAGACAGAGTCGCCACGATGACAGACCACAGACTGTAGCACTAACTTATACTCCATGCTGAAGCCGTTGGGGTCTTCCTCAAGCTGTGTCTCGTCGCCGAGCATGAAGTGCGGAAGCCTCAGGCTGTCCGGAATATCGATGAAGGTATTCTGGCGCTGTGGAACACCGGAGTTCGACATCATATACCGCTTCAGGCAAATACCGACCACAGGACGTTGGTTGAAGTTCATAGCAACCTCCATGTCGTTCTTGGGCTCCTTGTTTCCGGCGGCGTGCCATGGAATCAATCTGAAAAACTGCCAAGCTGGAATTGTCACGGCTTTCACCACTGTAGAGCTTGTTCGTCGCGCCTTTTCCAGCATGGTAGATGGCTCGGTCTCCTTTCCCTTGTCTTTGTCCTTCTCCTCCAGCACCACGCGTTGTATAACGCTAGTTGAACGGTGTCTTGGAGTTGGCCGCGAAGAGCTGCTAGGAGACTCCGGCACGCCATTGGGTGTTTGCGAGGCTGTCCATCGCCGCTCAAGGATTGGAGAAAGCTGCGCGGGAGACGCACTCAGCGTGTCTTGCGCGCCAGCCTCTAATTCATTCTCTTGAGTGACAATCCGTATCCCATTCGCGTCTGTGTTCGGGGTTACCCTCTCCGCCTCTTTCTTATCTTCGTGGCTGTCCCTGAGTACATCAACTTGTGTGTTGAAGTATTCTTCCAAGCAGTCTTCTAGCCTGATCCCTTTGCCTTCCGAATCTGGAGGTACGGCGAGGTTGAGAAGTCTTTCGTAGACCAGTTTGTGGTCGTCCTTATCGTTCTTGCCTTGGTGGAAGAGGTCGACTTGTAATTGCAACAGGGGCAATTGAAGCGTTTCGGTGACGAAGGCGAAGGCTTCGGAAGTGTCTTGCTGTTCTAGGAGTTTCGCGTCACTCCAGCCGCACTCAGCCAGCGCATCCTGTATCAGTTTCGTCTGGGACGATTAGCGCAGGACAGGTACCGCCGGACCAGCCGCAACTCACCATATCTGCGTGAATCATCTTTCCGCTCCTGAGCATGTTCACCCACAAGCGGAGCAGCGTGACTAGTTTGCGCCTCGGTTCGTCCGTGAATTCGTTCTTCAGCATACATTCGAAGGCGTCCAGTTTCGCAAACATGGCAAACAACAGGGAGTCAAGGTAACATGTGACGTTACCCCTATTCTCTGCGCCAACCATTTCGATTTGGGGATTGTAGTGTGCAACCTTGCCGGCCATTGCCTTGCATTGTAGCTGAATGAACTCAACGGTTTTGTCGACATCGCCGTCAGCGAATTTACTGTTCAGGGAGTCTCGAATGTGTTCCGCAGAAACGTCGGTGATGTTCGACTCGGCAAGAAGGTGCGTAATGTCTTCGATCTATGGCCTTGTTAGACTTGTGCAATGTTGTAATGCTGCGGTTGGTGTACCTTGGTCATCTCCTTCTCCTTTATTTCCTCATCGGTCGGTGCTCGATCGCTCTTGAAAAGCGACCTGAATGCTTCAGCTGAAAGTGGTCGGTTCTAGGTTTGGCGACGTGGGATTAGTGTGGCTGTCCCCATGGAAACGGACTTTGAGAAGGACCATCTTCAGATCCTGGGATACGAAGCTCACCTTTTGCCCTGGTTCTGAGGATTTGCTTCTGCGATGCGTGCCACTCCTGTCCCGCAGGCTAAGAAACTTTTTGCCCTTCATGGTTGCAGATCCTGTATGTTGCCAAAAGCTGGAATAGCTAGGTTCGCGATTTTGGTGCCAAAGTGGCTTGGCGACTCGAGAAAAGCAGTCGTCTCAGCGGTCAAGAATCATGGCCAGGTTGAAAGTCGCACCCCCATCGGCCAGCAATACGGGAGTGGGCGAGGTGGGGAGCAAAGCTGAGAGAAGATGAAGAATGCACCGAGTGCGAGGATAGGTATGGAGGGGTTCTGGCGCGAGTCGGCGGGGCAGATTTTCGCAGTCGCAAAAGACGGGGCTGGGCCGCTGGGATGATCAGGTCTGGACTCTGGGCTGTCCGATGTAGTAGCAGAGTGATAGGTTTTCGCTATTGTGATGGCCTGCAACGGCAGGGTATGAGTGTTGATCAAGTATCTGTTGTCTGCCAAGTAGACAAGCTCGATTCTCGAAAGCCAAAGAGATACACTGCTTGTTTTGTTGCTTAGGTTCGAAGTGAATAACAAGAAGAAGCAGACTGGAAGTGAGAAGACGAGGTCCTATGGTTGAACACACGGGGGACTGCTGAAGCAATAAAGGTAGCGAAGGACCTTCGACTGGCTCCTGGCGCCAACAAGGGTCAGATGGTGGTGGTTCGTGGATTTGGCTCAGAAAATTCGGGGTCCAATGTGAGCAGCAGCTTTGGCAGGGTGCCGTGGGTGCCCACGGTGTATTGGTCGTGTGGAGAGGCACCAAGTGGACGGACCGTGGAAGGGCGTGTATTCGTACCGGCGCGGCAAAGCTTGGGTGAGGCGGTACTTTGGGACCCCTGAGAGATTTCCACCTCAACTTTCTGCTGGGGACACTCGGCGTCCCTTGCGGACTTGCCGTCAGTTGACTCGGGGGTTTGGGAGCGCCAGGTCGGTGGAGGGTGGCGGCAAGGCGGACTTTCAGGTTTGCTTGCTTGCTGTTACTGTTACCTTGGACAGGCGAACACGACGTATCCAAGATGACCGTGACTCCGAGCTGACCTGTCCTTCTTCTAGCTGGCTTTTTGTGGTATAGGCTTTTTCGCTTGGCAGCAGACGAAGTGTGTTACGTGGTGAGATGGGAGCATAACCTGGAGTGTAATAGCAAGGGAACAGCCAGAATGTTCTTGAGCGTGCTTGGCTGCCACAATTCTTACATATGACCGACCAGGCTCCGAATATGAGTAAAAGTAGCCTGCCCCAACATCCCATGTCCACGCGAGGTGACATACGTAAGGGCCTGTCCTTCGTGGGAGGAACATCCGAAATTGACTTAGGCTGCCCATTTAACAAGATGAAAGTGGCAAGTCGCCCATCGCTTCAATTGCTGGTCATTCGATCCCCTAGTCACAATGGGAAATGTTGAGCAGAAGTCTTGACATGGCCTGCACAAGAACATTTTAGGCCAAACGTGACTCTCGTCAAGTCTCGCCTCTTGTTTCGAGGTGGTTTATCAGGTCCCGAATGATACCCTATGGGACACATCCTGGAGCGTCCCTTGCTTCCATGCGTGCACAGTAGATCCGATATCATGGCTCTGTGGCCCATGCTCCTGGTTTCATACGCCTCCTGGTCCAATGTCCATGGCCTTCTTTTACATTGAACAGGCTTCGCCAAGAACAGACGAAGAACAGCTAGATGAACGAAAACAATACGAGTGTCTTTCACTGAGCTACCCCAGAGGCTCAACTCTAACTTAGCAGCAGAAGAAATGCGCTTACACACACTCCCGCACCCATAGCAACGCTCAACGGTCGGAAAAGAAAGAGCAAAGCCTCTTGACAATGAATGGAAACTTTGTCGCACCATCTGCCAGCCCCCCGCCTTGTGTGTGTTGGATGTTGATCAGTCACTGAAAGTCAGCTCCAATCCGATGAAAAGCGCTCGCGTAACCTGTATAGGTTCGCTTTCGCGTCCATCTTGGGTACAATCAGGCAACCTGCATGTTAGCGCGCGCCGCCGCCGCATATTGAAGAGGGCAAGAGGCACACAACGCCCATCGTTGCTCATCGTTGCCCATCTGTCCGTCCCATCTTTGCCTGTTCATGTCCGAGGGTGCTGCTTGCTACAGTGGTCTCCCCACCCTGTCAGCTCCGCGTACCTTAGTCGGAAAGCAATGCTCCAGCTTCTGCAACCGAACGCGCGCTTGCTGACCCATTGAGCTGGTGACTGATGGACATTGGATTCAGCTGAGGGCCCGAATGACTGCTACGTAATCGAGCTGCGTGCACGATTTACCCGCTCTAGTAGAATGGATCGTCGGTGCCTCACCATAGTCCGAAGCTCAATAGAGGGTGTCCCGCGGACGGCGGCCTGGTTCCTGATGACGACAGTGCAACGACCACAAACTGAGCTTGAAGGCCCGAAAGTCCGGAGGCTGCTGGTCACGTTCGCTCCGACGGCCCCCGAGTGACATTCCCATGTCACTCCGCATCCAGTCGCCTGGAGATCCAGGCTTTAAAGATGCAGAAAGATCAAGCCACACGTTATTCCCAGAACTGAGCTGGAAGATCCACTTTAAAAATCGCATCAGCCACAAGTGGCACGGGCCGAACTGAGCATTTCGAGATTGAAATTTCGAGCATCGCGACTTACCCTTACAGACATGTCAGGTTGCGTCAGAGTTGAACGACTAGCCATGGCCACTCTACGGGAAAGCTCCCGATTAACTCGGTTCGTCTGCAGGCAGCGCTCGCCATGGCAATTGACCCCTCTTGTCGCCCGGCGATGCGAATCTACCGCTGCCGCTGAGGCTCAGTTCCCCGATCTTGAAACCTCGTCCCTGGCTGCTCCTGGTCCTGACGATGCTGCCATTCAAGCTTTCAACACGGCGAAGCGCTTGGCTGACAGACCGCAGCAGCTTCCCGGAAACAGGTGCGCATGGAAGCTCTCAATTACAGCGTGAAGCGGAATGCTAATAGATGAGGCGACAGATACCAGTACCACCCCCCTAAGTACGACAGAGGTCCTCTTCACCCGATTCAATCACCGCCCTCCACCGATCCCACGGCCCGCGACTTCGTTCCTGGGCCTTTCAACCTCCCCAGACTGCGCCAGACGTACGATACGACCATCGCCGCCGACCTGCTCACGATGACCTACCTTCACAAGCCCCCAGGTACACCAGATCCCCCGGTACGGGAGCGTTTAAGGGCATGGGACGACTCCTCGCCGTACAACAAGAACCGTCCTCTCCGCGGACCCAGAGGTGGAAGCAAGCTCGACGTGTTGGAGAAGAACATTGACTGCCGGTCCGTCCCCGAAATCTTGGCCGTATCGCTGCACACCTTCATCCCCTCGGCCGCCAAGGCGCCGGGAACGCTCCAGGTCGCTCGTTCGGTCATTCAGTCCATCAGCGGCAACGTCCCCGAGGTCACAAAGACCAAGAACAACGTTATCCAATGGAAGATCCGCGAGGGCGACAAGACCGGTGTCAAGACGACCATGCACGGTCCACAGGCGTACGAGTTCGTTGACAAGCTGATCAACCTCGTCCTGCCCAAGATCAAGGACTGGCCCGGTGTCAATGCGACCACTGGTGACGGAAACGGTGGTATTGGTATCGGTCTGAGGCCCGACGACCTGGTCTGGTTTCCCGAGCTCCAGATCAACTACGACATGTACCCTGCCAAGGTGAGATATTCCGTCTGCCTGTGACTTGTGACCACGTTGCTGACGAGTCTCTGCAGCTCCTACCAGGTTGCCATATTTTTATTCACACGAGCGCAACCTCGAACCGTCAGGCCAGGCTTCTGATGCAAGCTCTTGGTCTTCCTTTCTACGGAAAGTTCAAGGATTAAAGAAGGGGGAACATTGCTGGGAAGGGGTATCCCGTTTTGTACGATATCAACACATTTAGAAAGCCTGTATATGAATGTACCAACAGATACGGTCACTCTTGCGATGTATTCTGTGCAATAACTGTATGATCACGTTCTTGGTTCATCTGATGCGATAATGATCGTCTAATACCATAATGCCATGTTCCTTTGGGTCGTCGTCCCGTACGTCAAAAGAGCCCTCATGCCGATCCACCCGCCGAAACGCCGTCCATGCAAGTTAACCATACCAAATCCTCCCCATACCCATTCCTTTCTCGCGTTTCCTTTTTGTCTATGCCGTGATCTTGGCCTTGAGCGCATTCATAATCTCATCAATGTCATCCATGTTCTCAGCGTCAACCTTGCCGTTACGCAGGCCCTTCTTCTGCAGTTCGTCCGTGAGAACGTCCGCGCCGGGTTGGTAGTTCCGCACGGCAGAGCTGAGCGCGTAGACGGCCTTCCTCCTCACAGCCTCCTCCTCGCCGTCCTTGGTCGCGAGCGCCACGAGGGGCGGAATGCCGCCCACGGCGAGCAGGCGCTCCTGGCTGGGCAGGTTGTTCTGGACGGCGGTGCCGACGCACCAGGCGGCCATGCGGCGCAGCTCGTGGGCCTCGTGCTCGAGGCAGGAGAGCAGCGGGGTCCAGAGGCCGAGGTTGGCGATGTTGTTTGCGTTGTCGAGGTTCTCGATGAGTTGCTCGAAATTGTCAAAGGCGATGAGCTTGTTGTCGAGTGTGATTTCCGGGTCCGGGGAGGTGATTGCCTCCATGGAGAGCTTCATGAGCTCGGCGTCGCTGGGGCCGTTGCCGAAGAGGGCTGCGATGGCCTCGGGGTTGAGGGTGCTGGCGGGCGCTCTTACGGCGGTGGCATCGGCGGGTGCTGAGGTGCCGTTCTCGCCGCTGGTTTCTTGGTTTTCGATACTCCATTTGAGGAGCTCGTTGAGGTGCTTGTCACCCATGATAGATAGTTTGCGGTGAGTTATTGGAGGTGTAGTTGTTTGGAGTAGTCTCTTGAAATAATGAAACCTTGTGACGACTCACTAAACTTGCTGCAAGTCTGAATGAGAAATTTGAAAAGTGCGTATTGTGTTGATGTGTAGAGTTTGTTTGCTATCAACTCCCAGTCTGTCACTCACTCTCACTTGAACTCTCATCAACATCAAAAAGTTCTCCATCATCAAGAGCCACTTCCCGCTCTGACTGGCTGCTTCTGATTTGCTACCCTTTTCTGGAACCTTCAAGAAGCTTGCCAACAATCGAAAGCGGACTAGCGTCGATCTCACGTGAGGAGCCCTGATCAAAGCCAGCTCAATGCGTCGTTTATGCAGCTCGAGTCTTTTGAAACTTGGGCAGACAGACTTGTGGCCAGCGAATCTCTTACAGCCCAACAATGGGATCATGCAATGGGCTGAGTTGGCAATTCATCTGCCAGTCAAACATTGGATACCCTCCCGGACTCTGGATCCGGAAGTCTTGGACTCGTCGAGGGAATGGTCGAAGACAGTCTCCTACTGTAGTGAGGTGGCTGGTAAAAAGACGTGAACCAAAAAAAAGTTCCAACTGCCCCACCATGAAGTGAGTTGCCCCTCATTGCCGCTTTAACTTGAGGTGGCCATGGACAGAGCTTCCTCGAGGTACCCAAGCTATGGTAGGTATTGCGACGCTGAGCTGAGCAACCTTCCAGCGATGAAGTCACTGGAGCACACGAGACCTGGCAGCTCGAATTTGCTGTATCCAGCTTTGGATAACCCCGGGCTTCTCAGCCTTGCATCCTTCCATTATCTGAAAGCCTCTCTGGTCGTTCATGTCGATATTGCATGCCTCGCTTGACAGGATGCAGCAATCAGGCATAGCGTCCCCGCCACAGATGACAGGTTACAGCTTCCGCCGTATTCTCCTATCCGATCTATGCTAAAAGGACCCGATCAACGGAGACGCCGCCCGGCAACCCGGAGCTCCCAGCTCAGCCACACTGGAAACGTAGCACGGCGTGTAGTTGTCGCCCGCGCTGTTTCTTGTTGGGCTTCCCACACAAAGCTCGAAACACAGTTTATGGACACAGCACGCATCGGCAGGTACATGTCGAAGACGAGAGCGAGCCCGTGAACGAGGTTCCAGCCCAGAGCATGTATGCGAGATGCGATATGTGAGGCTGGCATCCGAGAATCCCATGCCAACTAACCCCCTAGGACCCCGGGCTCTCGTTCCCGCAAAAGGCGTCCATACGCGGGTACGTAATTTGAACCACCAGAGCCGCGACCCCATCAAGCCGTGTCCATGAGCATATGGCCCTTGCAGGAGCCAGGAGGCAGCTTGGTAGGCCCGTCGTTCGGTGGTGTCGGCTTCGGGGTGCCTGGAGCCTGGAGGTACCTGCCAAATTGCCTGGTCCGTCTGCTGTGCTTCCGTGCCCGTTCATCGCCGCCTTTGCTTGCGCCGGCCCGACGTGCTACCTATGTATGCTATGCAGACGACGGGAAGGAGGCAGGTGATGGTGCTGTGAACCAAAATAGATTGCCTATGCCTGCTTGGCACCTTTGTCCGTGTCTTTGTTACTTACGGAACAAGATGACGTACGACTCGTTGACGAATGGACGAGCAATAGGACGGCTGGCATGTGGTTCGCTGGCGCAAATCCGCCCGCCGCCATCGAGCATGAACCAGGCGGCCGCGGCGGAAATCTTGTTGAGAGTCTCACGTGGGCGTCGAGGAGCGGCCCTCCGTTCCACAGTCCATGAGGAGATGGGATGGATTCGCGATACTGTGTCCGCTACCTGCCGTGCTGCAACGCTGTCCTCCTTGCCCAACTGCTCTCCGGCGCGAGATGATCTCGGCCAGGCTGGCTCCCATGATCCCATGTTCTTGGCCTGGGTTAACCTTGTATTCTCATTAGACCGTAGCGTGCGTGCAGGTGGTGGATGTGGGGATGCCCTTGAAGATAATAGAGGCGTCACAGTCGGAGTGAGAAAGGCGCACTGTCAGGCCTGTAGCTTGGCTCGATTGGTCCGTGGTCGAGACCGTGGAGAGCTGAAGGGTATTAGGTGAGCATCTCTCACCGTCGGTTTTAAGCTGCCTGAAGAGCAGATGGTGAGTGACGGATAGGCTGACGAATGCTATTTGCTTCAATAGTCACTGCCTGATTGTTCGAAGTGATAGATAAGGCACGGAGACTGACGGGCTTCTTGTTGGTATGATTATTTGCTGTATTGAATACAGCAAGAAACGACTGAGGAGCAATTCGTTCGGATACGATACCTGCTCCGAGAATTCAGTAAAAGTGCACTTATCCGAGCATCGACGGGATATTTGCATTGCCCACCAACATCAAGACCAAATTGAAGGCACGACCCCCAATTCGACTTTAGTCACCGGAATCAGCGGTCCAGGCCGGAGAAAAGAAGACAATACGGATACTCGGAGGGTCGCGCATCTCGTCTGCAATATCAGAGGTTCCTCCTTGCCTTCGCACCCCAGTATCACCAAAAAAAAGGGTGAGTGAGTGAGTGAGTGAAAGTGTGTTCCCTCCCGTACCCCACCACACTACTTTGCCAGTCCTGCGCAGTTAGCCCCCCCGAGCAGCAAAGGAGCAGAAGCACGGGCCATCCCCGAAGAGGACGGGGGACGGGGAGAAAGAGGCGAGAGAGAACGCACAGCCTCCCCTTCCCACCTTTCCCATTCCTTTGTTAAAGCGGCAACTCAATCCCTCGGGGGGCGCTGCCACTTTCTGCCACCTGTTCCACGCTCTTGCCCAGCCCACTGCCCACCTCACCACGTCCATTTGCTCACCCACAAGTCGGGTTAGGTCTCCAGCTGCTTTCTGACATCGAAACCTGGCCCGCCAGACAAATCGCAGCAGCCAACGAAACACCGAGGAGCCAAAGCCAGCGCTCACCGCACACTGTGCCTGCCATTCCCACTCTTCTCCTTCTTCCCCCCTCCTCCACCCAAAATCGACTACCTCTCATCTTCCCGTAACCTTTCCCACTTTCGACCTCACCACCCAACGACGCCCTCTCCCAAGTTCTTTGCCATCCGCTCAGGACTTTTGCCAGTTCCATCTCGCTCCTACGATTCCGGAATCGAGTGAGCTGTCTTCGTTTTCATCCATCTTTCTTCTATTTTCCCAGTCCTCACCCACATCCTAATTCAAAATGGAAGGTACGTGACGCCATCTCCGCCTCTGCCAGCAATTTACTCCCTGCTCCACGACGCCGATGCCGCCTCACATCCCCTGGCCTCATCGGAGTCGCGATGCTCTAGTCCATCAATATCCGTCCTTCTGCTTCACTTGCTAACATATATCTCTGCAGAGGAGGTCGCCGCCCTCGTTATCGACAATGGGTAAGCTTCCCCGCCGTCTCACCGACCATTCCGCCTCCTGGGCCCAAGAAGGGATCTGGCCAATCGTCATCCCTCGCGATAACCCATTGGCATATGACCCATCGATACAATATATCCTACAATGAGTTTGGTTCTGACTTGTTCCCAGTTCGGGTATGTGCAAGGCCGGTTTCGCCGGTGACGATGCGCCCAGAGCTGTCTTCCGTAAGTTCCCCCTCATCCGCAGACCGCAATCTTCTCCGTCAGGGGTATACGGTTTCGGTCACCATACCCTAGATTGTTGATTCTAACTGTTCACTAGCCTCCATTGTCGGTCGCCCCCGTCACCATGGGTAGGTCTATCTCTTGCTGCGGCAATGCCATCTCCTGCGCTGCGACCTAACATGTGCACAGTATCATGATCGGTATGGGCCAGAAGGACTCCTACGTCGGTGATGAGGCACAGTCTAAGCGTGGTATCCTGACGCTCCGCTACCCCATCGAGCACGGTGTCGTCACCAACTGGGATGACATGGAGAAGATTTGGCACCACACCTTCTACAACGAGCTCCGTGTCGCCCCCGAGGAGCACCCCGTCCTGTTGACTGAGGCCCCCATCAACCCCAAGTCCAACAGAGAGAAGATGACCCAGATCGTCTTCGAGACCTTCAACGCCCCCGCGTTCTACGTCTCTATCCAGGCCGTCCTGTCTCTGTACGCCTCCGGTCGTACCACTGGTATCGTCCTCGACTCCGGTGATGGTGTCACCCACGTTGTCCCCATTTACGAGGGTTTCGCTCTTCCCCAGGCCATTGCCCGTGTCGACATGGCCGGTCGTGACTTGACCGACTACCTCATGAAGATTCTCGCTGAGCGCGGTTACTCCTTCTCCACCACTGCTGAGCGTGAAATCGTTCGTGACATCAAGGAGAAGCTCTGCTACGTCGCCCTCGACTTCGAGCAGGAGCTCCAGACCGCTTCCCAGTCCTCCAGCTTGGAGAAGTCCTACGAGCTTCCCGACGGTCAGGTCATCACCATCGGCAACGAGCGTTTCCGTGCCCCTGAGGCTCTGTTCGCTCCTTCCGTCCTTGGTCTTGAGTCCGGCGGCATCCACGTCACCGTCTTCAACTCCATCATGAAGTCTGATGTCGATGTCCGTAAGGACCTGTACGGCAACATTGTCATGGTATGGTTTCTACGGCAGTTCCAGTATCTAGCTCCAGTAACTAACGATTCTACAGTCTGGTGGTACCACCATGTACCCTGGTCTCTCCGACCGTATGCAGAAGGAGATCACTTCCCTTGCTCCTTCTTCCATGAAGGTCAAGATCATCGCTCCCCCCGAGCGCAAGTACTCCGTCTGGATCGGTGGTTCCATCTTGGCTTCCCTGTCTACCTTCCAGCAGATGTGGATCTCCAAGCAGGAGTACGACGAGAGCGGTCCCTCCATTGTCCACCGCAAGTGCTTCTAAGGTATGTCGACGGCGCAGCGAAACTACAGCATGCGGCAAGAGCTGATGATAATGTAGCGTCTTACTTCCCGAATCACATTCTCGCCCTTCCGAAAACACATCGATTCCAAAGAGGCAACGACCGGTGCAAGGTCTCCACGGCGTTGCATATACCGCAGTCAGGTCCTATATTGGCGAAAAGTTGTTGACATGGTCAAGAAGTTTGGGTCGACCCTTCTCCAGAAAGATTTGGTCCTTGTTTTGTAGCAGGGTGCGCGTGGGCGCGTATAGGGGCGGATACGCCTGCAACTGAGGTCGATCATACAATACACTTTGCTTACTGTTCCCGAGTTTCGCACGCTCGCTTTTTTAGTGATGTTATAATTTCACGAGAATGTTTTAGCCAGGAGTAGAAATGGACTGATCTATTGATACATATTTTGCTATGTGCAACGAAGTAATGTTTGATGTTACGGGTTTTTACTTTGTACAATGGAACTAGGATCAGCTGTATGGGAGGTCTTTACTTCCTCAAAGCTTGGGTCGCCGTTCGTCTCGTCTTGAACAGTTTGTTCGCTAGCTTCGTCTTCGCTCGCATCACTATTTGCTTTTTCCTCTTCAAGCTGACGGTACTTTCTCTTGCTCTTCTTGGATGCACTGGCGGCCTTTTTGCGCTTCACATCGCCGACAATGGCGGAACGACTCTGGTCGCCATTCTGCAGGTTATCAATCTTTTCGGCCAAGATTTCGCGGGCAATCTTTCGATTCTGGGAGCGGGATCTGGTGGCTTGGGACTTGACGACTATGCCAGTGGGTATGTGTTTGAGCTGCACGGCCGAGCTCGTCTTGTTCTGTAGGAAAGGTGGGGTGGTCAGTACAAGAAGACCATGACGGGAAGCAAGCTCCTAGTCAGTCATGCGGTCTAAACCGAGTCGCATCAGGCTCGAGTGTCGGCCGCATTGCATTGCATTGGTTGGTAGAAAAGGACAAGCGAAAGGCCCAAGGTACGACTCGGGTCAGTGGGTTCTACACGTACAATCTTCTGACCACCCGGCCCGCTGCCTTTGAGGTAAGATTCCTCGATGTCGGAGTCTGGAGGGGGCTTGGGCCGAGGTGGCATCTGGTGCCTCTTTAGCGACGCGGAGGGGGATGTGGTGAAGAGGGCGACGAGGGGCAATGGTAGTGACGGCAGCGGGAGCAGCAGCGCCGGCCTCGCCGCCGTGGGAGGGCCTCGGCGCATAAAGGCATTGGCGTTGGATGCGCCCGCCTGGAGGGGGAGACGGGTTAGAAGGGGTAGAGGGGGAGGCATCGCGCGCGCCGGGCCATTGTCCGTGGGTTGCGGCGTGATGGAGTGACGGTTCGAGGTGAGGCTTGCTGGTGAGGTTTCGTAGGTTCGAGGTTCGTTGCTTCACGGCGCGCGTGGTGGGCCGGGCAGTTGTCCAGCATTGGGCCCGGTTCGGATGTGGAGTGTTAGCAGCCGGCGGACGGCTGGAGGCCGAACGGGAGGTGCATGACGATTAGCCCAGGTGCCCAGGCGTTGAGATCAGAGAAGTTGTGCTGAACTGCTGGTTCGGAGGATTTGGGGAGGTGAGGCGGCCAATGAGAGGTTGAGTTTACTCAGTCTTTACTGGAGGGCGACCTGTAAATTAATCCCCCCACTTTTACTTTGCTGGCATTGTGGAACCCAACTCTTCTCTCCTTTCCCCGTCAGTGCTTCTTCCCCTGCGGATCTGTCGGGTACAGCTTTTTGGCGGTGGTGCTTTGCTCAGTCACTGCTGGGTGTTTTGTCGCGTGGGCGGGCCACCAATTTCACTAATAAGATTCCCTCACCCCCCGTCCCGCGCAAACCCCGTCCTCGGACGATATCCTTAGAGTTCGCCTTTTCTGATCCCGCAAACTTCCCTTCGATTCCTCTCGCCGCAAAAGACGGATTCTACAGAGGTTGTTCAGCATTCTGTACGACGGACGTCGACACGACATTTTATGAACGAATTGGCAGAGTAGACCTTTTAATCCTTACCACGACTTTGAGAAATCGCCTACCTCCTTTTTTTAACCCGTGACCGCCGCCGCCGCGACTTTCAACCTCCGTCAAACACCGCGAGAACCGAGCGAGCGAAGACTCCTCCTCTCAATCTCAGAAAAGGTCTTGGAGCATTCATCTGAGAACGTACGAGAAAAACAACAAAATGTCGGCCCTCCAGTCCTTCAGCAAGTGGCTGCACCTGAAGCAGTACCAGATCGAGGTCACCTTCAGCGTGTACATCTTCACGCCCCTGGAAAAGTTCATCTTCTGTACGTTTCTTCTACCCTCGCTCTTCGTCTCTGAACCCTGTTCGCGACGACAAACAGCTGCCGCCACCTCTCCTCTCGCAGAAACCAGAAAGATCCGTCCGGCTAACAAACCCCCCCTTCTTGCAGACACCGTCCTCTTCCTCCTCAGCAGCTTGACAATCATCGCCACCGTCCTCTACCTGCCCCAGCACATCGCCTTCCTCATGAGCCGCGCCTGGTTCTACATGCACGGCGACCCGATCGACGCCGTCGTCGAAACCGTGGTAGATGCTGTCGAGTTCACAAAGGCCGCCGTCGAGAGCGTGCTGATGGCCGAGAAGACTGGTACGGCTGCGGCCGCGCTGGCTCAGCAGACCGTCGAGCTCGTCAAGGAGCTGTAAAGACTCTCTTCGCTTCATGAGGGAGGGGCTTGTGCATCCCTTGCCCTGCAGGCAAGTCGGCAACTTTCTATGACATGAAAACGATGCATGCCGAATGAACGAACGGGAGGAGAGTCAGAGAACGAACGAGGGAGTGGGAGAGGAGGATCTTAATGGCGAGACATGGACGACCGGACCGCCCGATGAAGAGCTCGAAGGGCGTGTCGCATGTTGAGCGCGGAAAATGTCGCTTATTCGCTTCTGATGCGGGCGTTTCATTGGGGGTTTCTTTTTAATATGAACCAAGTGCATTCAGTTCAGGTTCGGATACGAAAAGGCATATACATATACATACTATAAACTCGCATCACATGCGGCGACGCGTGTCTTTTAATTCATATCCATTCATACATGCATAGGACTCGGATCTCAAGCGTCTTATAGGTGTCTACTAGGGTATCAACGAGTGCTTTCAAAACGTAAACTTCATTTCATTCATTCATTGGACCTGGACGGCGCGCCTAATCCTGTGAAGCTGTATACGCGCAGGGAGCTATCTTCACCTGCGATGCCTAACTCGTCTGTGCTGCTATCGCTCTTTGATGGTCGCCATGCGAGTTGGGAAACGGGTTTCGGGAGGCATAGGCTTTGAAGTGAGAGGTCAGCTACCATGTTCAAGTTACACTAAACAGAGTTACGAGGGGAAACTTACCTCGACGCAAGCTGGAGTGTGTCGACCGGCTGGAAAGTGTCAGGGGCCAGCGTGCAAAGAGAGATCTTGCCAGACTCGGTGCCGACGGCAAGGACAAGCTCACCACCGGCACCCCGACTGCCGAGGAAGTCGACGGCCGTGACGGGCCCGTCAAAGGCAATACTCGAAGCCAAGGTGAACTCTATTTTGCTGACGCCTTGCTCATCCTTTGCGGCCTCTTTGCCAACCCAGACCTTGGCGTTCTTGTCACGTCCCGCCGTAACAAACACCCTACTGCTATTATCATCACTCAGCGACAGAGGCGCCCACGCGGCGTCGAGAATCATGCGCGTGTGGCCCTTGGGGTTCGCCTGGAGGAGGGAATACTGCTGCCCATCGCTCCCGCGCTCGAAGACGGCCCACTGCCGGTCTCTGCCCACGCTCAGGAGGAAACGGTCGTCTGGGGAGAACCGCAGCCTCGTGACGGTCAGGGTGTGCGCCGCCAGCGGTGGCCTGACCTCGGTCCAGCGCTCCGTCTCAAAGACGCGGATGACGGCATGGTTGAGAGAGCTCGCCTTGCAGGCGCTGGCGATGAGCTTGCCGTCGTGGCTGGCGGCTAGGCAGGAGATTTCGTAGCCGTGGCCGTAGAGCTTCTCCGTCTCCGGCCAGAGAGTATGCCGCGAAAGGGACTCTTCAAAGGGCGGGTGGTCAATGTCGAGCATGGACTTGCGAACGACAGTGGCCGGGTCAACGGCCTCGCGGTCGTACTGGTCGTCGGCTTGTACTTCCTGGTCGTCGTCGACGGCGTCAATAGCCTTGTTGGAGAGGCCTAGCACGGGCATGTTGGCGCCGTCTGGCATGGATTCCGTGGGTGCGCCGCTCTCGATTCCGCCGAGGGTCTGCAGCATCTTGGCGACGGCGCGTGGCTCGCTGAAGACACGCATGAGCTTCTCGTCTGCGCCTGAGACGAACTGAGAGGCGCCTAAAGTGTCGATGCAGTTGAGGTCGTAGCCGTGGATCTGGGGACGGGACATCTCATGCCACGAGCGGGCGCCAGTCACGGCATCACCGCGCTTCCAACGGGCGTGAAGACGTGTTGTCTGATCCGAACTCGTGGACACAAGGTAGTCCCCTTCGCGGGACCATGCGATGCCCGTGACGGTTCTGGTGTGGCCGCTGACGGCGATGGCGTTCCTCCACTGGTCGCGCTCGTTGTCGTAGACCCAGCGACGCCAGCTGCCCGTCCGGCCCAGGCAGACGACGGACTTGCCGTCGGGTGCCCAGAGACCTGTCCAAAAGCCGCCGATGCTTCCCGTCGCCGTTGTCGCGCCCTTCTCTCTGCTGATCTCGCCTAGCCTGACCATGCTGACCCAGATACCGGAGGTGCTGTCGGCCTCCCACATGGCGAGGGAATTGTCTGCGGAAGTGGAGAGTAGCTGGAGCTTGCCTTCGCGGCTAGTGAACCACTTTGCGCTGTAGATCCAGTCTTCGTGGCCGAGAAGAAGGGCCTCGAAGGTAATGGAGAAGTCCTTGCCGGCGGATTGAAGCCGGTGTGCCTTATTTGAGGGGGACTTGCCCGGCAGATAGGCACCGCTTAAGGGATCTGAGCCTTCCGCAGCGAGTGATGGCAACTCCTTGCCCAAGTGCAGACGCCAGAGTCTGACGTACTTGTCTTGACTTGCCGAAGCGAGGAGCAGGTCACTATTCGCCTCTGTCTTCTCCCACGTGAACTCCAGGGATCGTATCCAGCCTTCGTGACCTGATAGGGTAGCCTGGAGCTTGAAGTCGGCGGTCTCATCGTCAGCAGCGGCGACGAATATTTGCACAAACGTTTTTGTTCCTGCTGCGGCCAAGACAAACACATCTTCGGCCTCGTCGAGTGCTGTGAGAGCCAAGCATAGGGGGAAGTACTTGGGGGCGGTTTTGATAGTCTGGCGCAGCTGTAATTGGCTGCCGTCAAGCTTCCAGATCTTGATGGTTGCGTCGGCAGCCCCTGAAGCCAGAAGAACCTGCTTATGGGTCCCCTTGGACCGCAGGATGGCGATGCAGTTCACGGGCGCCGAATGATTGTGGACCGTCTGAATGCACTCTCCTTGGTTCGTCTTTGAGTCCACTGCCCAAACCTTGAGTGTTTGGTCATCTGAGCCACTGATGAGGAGCCTGCGATCATCACCGTCCACTTGGGGCAGAAATTTGACTGCTTTGACAACCTCCTTGTGCCCACTTAGGAGGGTCGTAATACCCTCTGCACTTCGTGACTGATTCATGAATCGTCAGCATCAATCCATCAAGCAGCGGACTGGGGAAAGGGCTTACAGACGGCGCCCACAAGGCAATGTTGCAGTCAGCGCCAAAGGCAAGAAGACCACATGGGCTCCAGTCGGCGACCGCAGTCTGCCTGTTGGCTCCTGTTGACAGATACTCTATTGAGGGCTGTGTGCCAGCCATATTGTCTCTTTCTCTTCGTCTTCTTCGTCGTCGCTTGGAGATGCTGCGTCGAGGAGTGACTCTGAGGGTTGACAAAATGCGGCGATGTGATTGGCTCACGGGTCACAAGTCAAGAGGTGAAGTTGAAAATTTCTTAGTGGAGGCGGGGCATCTCTCTCGGGGGGCGCCTGTTTGCCTGCCCGCCTTACAGCGCTTGAGCCGCCGCACCGTTGGCTCCACAGGTATCCGGTAAGGCTTGCGCTCCCCATCGGAGCCCCTAGCCCGACTGCCTGATCCGTGGGCTCAGTGCCTTCCCCTCCCCCCAAACACTAGACAGTGTACCTAAGGTATGGAAGATACCCCGTGCCTTACAGACGCCTGACGTGCCATCCATCCTTCCTCCCATTGCATCTTTCTCACTCTTGTCCGTGCCGTGCCGCGATTCAATCTGACAAGCAAACAAACTTTATTACCATTACATCTCACATTCTTCATCTATTCTCCGACGTCTCGCAGCTGCCGGCACTTTGGGTATCGTGGGAGATTTATAGTACCAAGCCTCGCAAAAGAAAAGAAATGGCCGCAGAAGCTGCAGATGCGGGGGAGAAGATCGCCGTCGTCGTTGAGTTCTCGTGAGTCTCTATTCTCCGCTCACCTCTCTGTACTCCCATCTCTCTTCTATTCCATCCTGTGGCTCAAGCAAGGTGTTTCTTCTGGACCGGTACCGTCTCCCGGACTTTGGCCTGAGACCTTTCCACGCAGGCTGACGGGGTCGATCCGAGCATGATTTCATTTGTATCTTGCATAGATCATTCAGGTACGAATGCATAACTGACGTGGTACCTGGCGGGCAGCGGCGGCCTGGAGATGCTCTTCTCTGATCAGCGGCGTCACGCTCTCTCCATCCCGGCGGTGAACAAGGACGGCAAGCCCGCAACTATTGCCTTTCTCATCAACTATCTCTGCGAGAACACGATGAAGGACTCCAGAAAGGAGCTTTTCGTCCTAGATGGTCATCTGTACGTCTTAGAGTCGCATCACCCACGCGCCGTCCCCATCCTTGGGCATATCTTCATTTCGGCCTCGCCTGGCTCTCTGTTTCCCTTATTCTCACCCCAATATTGCCTGTCCTATGCAAGCCGTATATCGCCACTCTGCAGCCTTTCTCAAAATCTGCGATGAACGTGCAGAGTAGCTATATTGGATGCAACGCTAATGAGGTCTCTCTAGTCGCCCTGGCATCCTTGCCCTCATCAATGACGCAGACTGGGAGCTTGAAGGAGAGGAGGCGTACGAAGTCCAAAACGGTGACAATATCCTCTTCGTCTCGACGCTTCATGGAGGTTAGATGGAGAGGGGGGCGTGGGTGACCTTTCTTCGCTGGCCAATGACTTCTCCTTTCAACATGAGGGGCCCTGCAAGTGTTGCGGCCGTATCTCTGGGTCCCTGGAACTAGCAGTATGCATCCTCCCACTCTCAAGCCTGCTGCCTTTCCCCCGGGGTGCGGCACCGATAGAACGACGTTGAAACTCAGACGCCCTCCCCCCTCTCGCTTCGTGCAGCCGTATTGCATCGCATCGCATCGCCTCGACTAGTCTGCGGCCGTAGCCGTTGACCCGGCGCCTCTTCTCCCCCCCGGCCCCGGCGCAGCGGGGAGATGCAACTCGTGCTTCCGCCGTTGGTCTTATTACACTACTACAACTACACCACAACCCTATGGATACATCCTTCGCCTTGCGCGCCGTCGACGCAATGAAACGTCCCGGGAGATATTCACCCCTGGCCCCCGCTGCCCTGCAACTGCCACCACCTTGCTTGCCGCATGTCTCGTGGCCGCATCGTGGCGGCAGCTCTTCACCCCTCGTGTTCCCCTTGCACCTTGGCTTGGCTCCCCCGGTCGCCC